ACTTATAGCATTAGGTCTAAAATCGATTTTTTTTACTAAGTATATATATATATCCTACTTTCAGAGCTAATGGTCGCTTAAAATAATAATTATATTTTATATATGTTTAATCAAAACCGATAAATATTTATGAACAGAAGAAGAGTAGCCAAATTTGTCTCCGAGAAAACTTGGGCTGTGTGCCGGTAGTGTGTTCATTTTGAGATTTATAACATTTTACGTATAATGGAGCAACGGATTAATACATGGTTAATTATGTATTAAAAACTTGAAAATAATTAATATGATTTTCTATAGCAATTTTTATGTTGTGTTTAAAAGAAACACGTCATTTAGCAGATTACTAAGTGTGTACGCGAAAAACGAGAGATTATAAATTGGGAAAGTGTAATATATAACACAATTTAACCTTAATACTAATATCGCTTTCTAAATACTCCCTCCATCAACTTTTGATAGTCATATTTCATCTTGACACGTAGACCAAGGATAAGTAATTCTACTTATCATCTATTTAAACATGCTACTAATCATTCCTCGTAAACAAGCGATTAATTAATATTTACATTTCTCAATATCCATGTAGCCAATCATGTGTGGAAGAATGGAGAGTCACGCATTAAATTCGAGAAAATCATTAAGAGGATAGGTTGTTAGATTGAAATATGCCTATCAAAAATAAAATTTTCAGATTTGGAAATATGACTATCAAAAATAGACGGATAGAGTATTAAATTACTCCGTACGCTTGTGGACCAGGTCTCCCAAAGTCCAGCCTACACCGACTTCAGCCTTCTTCGGCAGAGGACTTGGCAAAGCAATGTCGCAGACTCGCTTGTACACGGCCCGGTGTAGATTCCAATTTTTTTTAACAAACTTCTAACTTTTCCATCACATCGAACTTTTCTACACACACAAACTTTTAATTTTTCTGTCACATCGTTTCGATTTCTTCAAACTTTCAATTTTGATGTGAAACTAATAACAACCCAAACCTCTCTGGCTCTCTCGCTGAGAATTGCGTACATTTCACATGACATGGCGTGTAAGGGTGTGTTTGAGGAAAAGGGGATTGAGGAGATTGGGAAGATACGTAAAACGAGGTGAGCCATTAACTCATGATTAATTGAGTATTAACTATTTTAAATTTCAAAAATGGATTAATATGATTTTTTTTAAAGCAACTTTCATATAGAATTTTTTTTTGCAAAAAACACACCATTTAGTAGTTTGGGAAGCGTGCACGCGGAAAACGATGTGCATTCTCACTCCCTATCACCCAAACGAACGCAGCCTAAGACCACAATTAGCAGCAAACATAGTTTGCAAAGTGCAAATACAAACGGATTCTGGCCTGCTTAGGTTGGTGATTGGATTTGTACCTTGTAAAATTGTTTTAATTTGTTTCCATAGTTTGCAAGGTTCTTTTATTTTTCGTTGGGACAATTCTTCCCTTGGTAGTACATGTTGCATAACACCGAGTAGTCGAAATCCACACCTAAATTTATCCAGGTGCTTTAGAGTTGAAAGTGATAAACAAAAATATTTTAAGCTTTTCATAAAACCAGGTTTGGTACGATTTATGTAGCCACTTTAATTTTTTAACACAAACGTTTGTGTTTGTTGCAAAATTAATTCAGTGCTGGTAGCATGGTGCCATAGTCGTGGGTCCATGTTCCATCCACTATGATTTAAAATCTGATGCCTAAGCTTTTCTACGCATGAGCGATTGCACTATCTATAGGTTTTGTTGAGATTAGAGATTTATCAGTAGTCTCCATCTTTAAAGCATGTGTAAGAGAAAATATCTGTGTGTGTACAAGTGTGGTATATGTGAGCTTAGGTGTCTTTAGTATAATCGGGAAAAAAAATCATTCGTGAAAAATCTCGATGTTACCACATTTGATACCAATAAGATAGTGAAAAAAAACCTAACTTGTCAGCAATATGATTACTCCTATATATGTCCATGCATACGTATCATGTATGTACATCATGGCATCACGCATGTCGGCATGTGTGCTTCTTCTTTTGTTATTCATCATGTTCGATGCACCTATAAAACTTCTTTCTCTTTTTTTTCTAGTTACGTCCTCCCATGTTATAATCTTGTAATTATTTTTTTTCTATATCGTTATGAATTTCGCACTATCGTTAAAATAAATGAAGCTAAATGTGGTCGATCTCCTGATAGTCTGCTGCAAACCGCGAGGAAGACGTACGTGCTAACGATATGTTTGGCGTATGACACACAGCCACATTCAATTCATCAGTTAGGTTATCGTCGGCCGGCCTACAGCTCGCGCCTCGCGGCACGCCGGCACGCGGTCTCGAGTCCCGTGGCCCCGTGACAATCCCCCCCGGTTGCGGCTCCACATGTCAGCGATTCAGTGGCGCCTCCCGCAATTTGATGCGGCTGTGGCACAGGCACCACAAAACACGAGGGATAGCACGTCCGCCGTCGGTGCGGACCGGCCGGGCAAAAATAGCGTGACGGCTGGCCAGCTTTCTCAGGGGCCGGTTCCAATGTTTGCCGCAGGGGCGGATCCCATGTGATTCATGGGTATTCACCTGAATACCCATGGAATTTAAAAAAAAATAACTATATATAGGTATGTTATGCATATATACATGAGAAATTAGAAGGAAGTACAGCATGTATAGCCCAAATGAAAAGAAGCCCATTTATTCGCAGCAGACCATACATTCCTCCCCATCTTGGCCCAACGAATAGGCCCACTGGCCCAAAAACGAACAAAACCCTAGTCCCTATCCCCCGGTCAGCCAGTCCCCACGCCTTCTGTCGTCCCAGCCCCAATCCGCCGCGCCTCCACTCATCCCCACCGACGGGCGACGGGGCATCGAGAGCTCGACGCTCGGCGGCGCCGGCCGCCGGCTCGGCGCGTCGCCAGAATCGCCACCAGCCTCATCTCCCTGGACCCTGGTCCCTGGGCCTGCTGCTGCGGAGGCGGCGTGGCCTGCGACGACGCCGCCGCCTCCTCGGGGACGGGCGACGCTGAGCAGCTGAGGTTCGCACGGACGGCAGCGGCGCTGCGGCGCACGGCGGCAGCCGGTTGCGGCGACGCACCCCCGCGTCGGCGCGTCCCCTTGGTCCCTAGACAGCTGGACAGTGGACTGGCACTGGTAAAATAAATCCTCTTGTCAAATTCCCCAAGCGATTGGCCATTGCTTAATTGCTATTGCTTAGAAGTTAAATTAGTCAGAAATTTGAACTGTAGGTCTTGAAATTTGAAAAATGAAGAAGAAGAAGACAATAGATTTGAAGTCTTTGTGGGAAAGGTCAACCAAGTCTCAGAAAGTAGCTTCCACCTCTGATCCAAAACCATTAACCATTGAGAGTGAAGTTCAGATCCCAGAAAATGCCCCTTCTAGTCCTATTCAGCTACTACTTGAAGCACCCAATGCCTATGATAGTGATATGTCCCCAAGTGTGCAGTTGGAGATAGACATCTTGACTATTGTGCTACTGTTTGTACCTTTAAGGCTTTAAACATGTCATTACCACTCCTGTATGATTTTCCCAGTCCAATTTTTTGAGTTCTGTATGATTTTTTTTTCAGCTTTGAATACCCTTTGCTCAAATCCTGGATCCGCCACTGGTTTGCCGCAGCATCCGGGGCTGGGCTATGCCTAGACTTTACCGAATCGTTTAGGGTGGGGGTTACCGTCACCTCATGATTCGGCGGTTATCGCCAGACCGTGGTTTCAAAATTTTAAAAGGTTACCGCACGATAACCGTGCGGTTTTGTAAACCCTGGCTATAATTATGAGCAAAGTCACTGGGTAGATGAACAATATCTAGCAGAAATATGAAATTCATTTCGTTGGATCTAAACATTGTTTATCTTATTAAGAGTAAAAGTTTTACTTTCAGTTAGATTTAACTAGGAGTGAACAATTTTCTGGGAGTAAATAACGTGACAAATTTCAGATGTCTATTCGTGAATCCAGTAATAGTTTTTAGGTTTCCACTACGCAAATGGTTTGCATTACATTTTTTTTTCCAAGGACCAAACCATAGGTCCCTATTTGTTACCCCTTCCATCCCCAATGTAATGATGTATTATTAGCTCCTTTTTCACGGTCAATAACATTATAACTTGATTATAATTATTATTTTTCTTTTGTAATCTATTGTTTGATTAATTATTGCTAGTTCAAAGTTTTGGATGTTAGATTTTTTCTAAAACTATGAATATATTATATTTTGGAATCGAGGAAGGTGATGTAATTTGGAGAACGTATTTTGTGCATGCAAACTTCGCGTGTACATATCGTGCACAACTCAGACGTGTACACGTAGGTTATATGTGTTGAATTATACCTTCTTAAGAAAGTATACTTTTAACCTTGCAGTTTATAGGCAGGTAGAATTATAACTTCTATTAAAAAAAAGCTACTCCATCCATTTTATATTATAAGTCATTTGACATTTTTCTTAGTCAAAGTTCTATAGGTTTGACCAAATTTATAGAAAAAAATAGCAATACCTACGACACTAAATTAGTGTCATTAAATTTAACATCAAATATATTTTTGATATAAAGTTTATTTTGTATTGAAAATGTTACTATATTTTGCTACAAATATGATCAAATTCTAAGAAGCTTGATTAAGAAAAAAAGTTAAACGACTTATAATATGATACAGAGGGAGTATATGATTGACATTTGGCATGATTATCTTATTGTTCAAAAATATCTAAGTCAGAAAATGCCTATGTTTAAGGTCAAACCAGACAATAAAATTCCCATCAACTAACAGCAAAAAAGTAGTCAAACAAGAAAAAATATTTTTGGTGCTGTGGTCTCCTATTTTATTCCTTATCAAAGTGTTAAATACTCCTTTGAACATCCTTGACTCGTTGAATAAAAAGATTCAGATGCAACTGCAAGTTACTGGCTGAACCCCCATGCAAAATCTAAACAAATTTAGCGGCTGATTAGTTAAATTCCCCCCCTCTCTTAAATTTCTAAACCCACACACATCCACCCACCCACCACCTTCTCCTCCCCCCCCCCCCCCCTCCACTTCTACTACGGAAGCCATCTCCTCCTCCGCCGCTCGCCGTCGCCGTCGCCGGCGACCTCCACCACCGCCTCCCCGACTGTACAGCCTCCGCGCCAGGCCGTGAGACGGGCCTAAGCCCGTTCGCGCGGGGCGGGATGAAGGGCCTGTGGAAGCAGAGCGGCCTGGCGGGCATGGCGTGCGCCGCGGACGTTGGCGCGGCGGGCGCGGGGCGGCGCGCGAGGCTCGCGGTGTACGTGCTCGCCGTGGCCTTCGCGGCATTCACCGCGTACGTGGCCGTCTCCTCCTCCTCGCCGCCCCCCGCCGGGGAGGGCGCGTCGTGGTTCGGCGGGGTGTACGCGTCCACGGCGCCGTACCGCGCGCAGGTCTCGGGGTTCTTCTCGTCCATCTTCCCCACCGGCTCCTCCACCCCCTCGCCGGAGCAGCAGCCGCCGCCGCCGCGCCGCGGCGAGGGAGGCGGCCAGGTGAGTAGCCATGGGATCGATGAGCACGCGCGGGTGCGGAGCGGCGCAGCGCACAGCGTCCCTGTCGATCCAGCTGCGTCTACCAAGCATTCGGGAAGTGGAGGTGGAGGTGGTGCGGCAAGCAACAATGGCGGTGGTGGGAGTGCGCCTCCGCCCGGCAATTTGGCAGGAAGTGGCACTCCACCTGCAAAGGGAAGCGGCGGCGACGGCGGCGGCGCTCCGGCGAATAATTCCACAAGTGGCGGCGCCCCGGCGAACAGCGCGGTGGAGCAGAGTAGCCCGGCCGGAGATGGGGGTGGATCCCCATCCACAGCCAGTAGTTCTGCCGGAAAATCATCCTCCGCGAACACCGGCGAGGAGAGTGTAGATAAGTCCAATAAGCAGTCAGGAAGTGGAGGTGAAGCTCCCAGCAATGGCGATGCCGTTTCTGACAAGAAGAACAGCACGGCGAAGGCCGATACCGAAGTTGCTGTTAAAGCATCCAGTGATAATTCTACTGGAACTGGAAGTTCAGCAAAGGGTGAATCTAATGTTGGATCTAATAGCAGTGCAGGAAGTGGAAATGGTGTTGCAAGTAGTGTTTCTTCTGCTGCTGTGAATAGCACTGCGGTAAAGACAGATGCAAAAGACGTAGTCGTTGCTACGAGTACTGATTCTGCCGGAAGTGTCTCAGATGTGAAGGCCGATTTGAGTAACAGATCAGATACTCCGCCAGCGAGTGGAAGTGGACATTCCAACCATACATCAGATGTGACTGTTAGTCCGGCGAAGGGAAATGCTAAAGATGGCGGAGCTGATACAAATAAAGCGAGTGGGAATGTGGCTTCAACTAGTAATCAGACTGCTAGTACTGCAATGGTCGCAAAGAAAGCGGGTGGATCCCCAAGCAAGAATCAGACATCTGTAGCATCGACAAATTCGAAGAATCAGAACCAGACTAGTGCTGGAGTTGCTTCTGGTGGAAGTAGTGGTACAACAAGTAAGCAGGAGGAAACAACTTCGCAGGGTAGTGTTGGTTCATCTAAGGATCATCCTGCCCAAGCAATCAACTCAAAAACTAGCAACTACAGCGAAGTGCTGGTGAAGGGGAATGGATCATCAACAAAACAGGCATCACAAAAACAGCCTGATAAAAAGGTTGACTGGATCAAGGAGATGGCCAGCTGTGATATGTTCCATGGGAATTGGGTTCGGGATGAGTCGTACCCTCTCTACCCTGAGGGATCATGCCCTCACATTGATGAGCCCTTCGACTGTTATCTCAATGGCCGGCCAGATCGAGCCTACCAGAAGCTCCGGTGGCAACCTAGTAGCTGCAACATCCCGAGGTGAGGAAAAGTTACTAGAGCAGGCAATCAATTTTGGTGAATTTTTATTCCATCTTAGTGCATAACATGCCTAATTATATTCTTGTTATATTAGATTGAATCCAACTGATATGTTGGAGAGGCTGAGGGGGAAAAGACTGGTTTTCGTTGGTGATTCACTTAATAGGAACATGTGGGAATCCCTGGTCTGCATCTTAAGGAACTCCGTTAAGGATAAGAGGAAGGTTTTTGAGGCATCTGGTAGGCATGAGTTTAAGACTGAGGGCTCATACTCTTTCCTGTTCACGGTATGTATTTCCTAGCTTGGATTGATTCTGTTTTACTATACACTGCATCCATTTCAGAAATTGGAAGTGTTGTTTAATGCAAATTCTTGTCATTTAGGACTATAACTGCAGTGTGGAGTTTTTTCGCTCCCCTTTCCTAGTCCAAGAATGGGAGATGAAAGTGAGCAATGGAAAGAAAAAAGAAACTCTTAGGCTTGATATAGTCGAGCAATCATCACCAAAGTATAAGGATGCAGATTTTCTAATTTTCAATACTGGACACTGGTGGACACATGAGAAGACTTCTCTAGGGTAACTTATCTTGGTATCTTCACTGCTATTTGGGCTGGACAATCATCTCTATTTCATTCTTCTTGTTGAACATTAAAGATATGTTCTATGTGACACAGGAAGGATTACTATCAGGAAGGTAATCACGTGTATAGTGAGCTCAATGTTGTGGATGCCTTTCACAAAGCTCTTGTCACCTGGTCCAGGTGGATTGATGCGAATGTAAATCCCAAGAAAACCACTGTGTTGTTCAGAGGCTATTCAGCATCCCATTTCAGGTATATATCGCCTTTTTGTTTTGCGAAAATTTGACGAATCTCGGGTCTTGACTGAATTTTGTTGTGCTCTCAAATATGCAGTGGTGGGCAATGGAATTCAGGTGGTAGCTGTGACAAAGAGACAGAACCAATAAGAAATGAACAGTACCTGTCAACCTACCCACCAAAGATGAGCATTTTAGAGGATGTGATCCACAAGATGAAAACTCCAGTTGTTTACTTGAATATAACAAGGATGACTGACTATAGAAAGGATGCACATCCTTCAATCTATCGCAAACGGAACCTGACTGAGGACGAGAGAAGATCACCAGAGAGATACCAGGACTGCAGCCACTGGTGCCTTCCTGGAGTACCGGATTCCTGGAACGAGCTGCTTTATGCCCAACTTTTGATCAAACAGCATCAAATGCTCCAACAATAAAGGCAAGTATGGGGTTTTCTGGATGAGGGTGCTTGTAGTTGTATATGAACTGTTCGCCATGATAATAATCAACACGATTACCAAAAGTAAGGTCGATAGAGACCTAGGGATTTTGAAATCCCTATAGAGAGTAAAGTTGCCAGTTGATGAGATCTCTCAATACGCACACAAATTCTTGTGTTAGAGGCTTCTAGGACTTCATATTGTAAAGTTCATGTGTAGTTCTAATGAGTAATAGACAATAGTATAGATGCTATGATATAAAAATTATTCCTTTTTTGGCAGTTCCTGGCATTTATTTTGTATTTAAGGATATACAATATAATCTCATCTGTGACTTTATCATGAACCTCATGCTGCGTGACAACGAACAGCCCTAACATGCGAGGTACCACACTGCCACTTGACTACTTTGTGGATGGTTTTTCATTTGTGTGGTAAATAGCATGAGTTGGACAATATCCATTCGATGTATTTCGATTTTCGAATGTTAAATGTGGAAATGAGGTGAAACTGCTTATTGGATTGTAAAAACATGGTGATGCCCTAGCATTGACATCTTATGATGGAATTTTATTTTTGTCAAATCTGAAACATAGGATGACCTCATATGCCAGTACTTTTGTCCAAGTGAAAATGAATCTTTGAGTATCTCATAAGCCTGCAATGGTGTGTCAACTGTCAACCAATCTGTTGGTGCTGGAGACAATTAGGCCCTTAGCGACCTCTTGAGTTTGCCGACATTTCTCTATAGTTAAGCTGTCCATGTGGGATCCAAAGGATTTGGTCCAGCTTTGCAGCTTTTGAGGATTGAAGATTGTAAAAGATGTTCTTACAACTGTTTGTTAGTCTTACTGCCCTGTTTGCATCAACCAGTTTTTTTATAGCAAATATGCAGGTGACTTTCTCATTTCCCCTCGTTGCATTCTGGAACTGCTAAGTTGTATTTGTGTATGCAGCAGCAGCAGCAGGTATAGCTCAGGTGTAGTTCTGCATTTCTCTACGCTATATATTGAGTGCCATATCGCGGATTGGAGTAGATGAGGATGGTGGCTATGCTGTTGGTTCTGTTGCGCGGTGCGCCCAAAGAGGCAGCGACGCTTCATCAACTCAGACATATCCTGAGCCAACCTGTCAGCTTGTGCAACAGCAAATAGTATAGTCGACAGGTTTAGCGGAAGCTACGGGAGCGCAAAATTGCTGGGCCGAAGAGTCCACGAGATGACGAGAGCGCCTTTTGGTGTGAGGAGGAATAAGTCTATCGTGCATCCCTCACCATAAAATCATCGTAAAATGAGTAGTATAATCCCTCCCCCATCTTCGAAAATCGATACAAACTGACTCCTTCAGTAATTTGAGAAACAGTTTCTGTTAACGTGGTAGGTTGATCGAGGTTGACTTGCTAAGTAGTAGCTGCGATTCAATCAGGAAGCTACGGGGAGCACCAAATTGTTGGGCCGGAGAGTCCACGAGAGTGCCTTTTGGTAGTGCCCATCAAAGCCTTGTTCTCAGTCCTGTTGGTAATTTCCATTTCCTTTTTATTCTTTAACAGTGACACTTTCTTTTTCATTACATGAACACTCGCAGGCTCACGGTACTACATATCATAACATCACGAACTCAATATCACATATATAATTTGTTCAAAACATGATACTGATATAGCAAAAGTTGCTCAAAATATGATACAGAAATAGCAACATTTCCTCAAAATATAATAAGAATATAAAAATATGCTAAATTGTAGGGTGGTCTAAGGCCTACATGGAACACCCCATGAAGCCACCACTGCGTGTAAGTAATTGTCAGCACCAAGATTTAAAATCCGTGGGGGTACGGTCATTCACCCACAAATCCATCATTACTCTAATGCTTATCAATGAATAGCCAATTTCGTTAGGGTTGTAATTTACTCATCTCTAAAGGAATTTCTAAGAGTAAAATGCACCGGTGGTATCACAACTTGCGAGGTGGGTGCATTTAGTCACTCATCTTGCAAAATGCTTAAACAAGTCACTCAACTTGCTTCGATGGTGTAAATGTTACTAAATACATTTTCACACGGATTGTTTGTTTTCAAATTGGAGTGCATATTGACATAACATAATGCATTTCTTACCAATGTGGGCAGGATAAGCATTAAAATTACATATTAACATTTATATTTTCATGTATATGCTACTTCCCATGCTTTCAATGAACACGACTATATTGTACTTGGCAATCCATAACAAAATTCATCTTTAATTGGATTTTAGCTAGTACCGGTAGTATTGCACGTTGTATTATTATGGATCGTGTGACCATGTTTGCAAAACAAATTAACATAGCATATATCTTCATTGCGAACACTCCATACGACACATGTTTTATGTAATTTGCACCCCAAAATAAGATGTGTGACTTGTTAGAGCATTTTACAAAATGTGCGACTAAATTGCACCCACCTCGCAAGTCAAGGTATTAACGGTGCATTTCACTCAATTTCTAAAACTTGGTCAATGAATAGTTGTGCCTATGACGCATGGACCAAAAAGATTTGATGTCCTAGCCTGTGTGGCGTGGGGAAACCAGGAAAATCATTTTTTTAGAAACAAAGTACAAATGTAGGTGCTCATAACTCACGCATACTCAACGCTACGAACACACACAAGCACACCCTACTCCTATAAGCATTTTCGAAAGGTTGTATTAGTATATTTTGAGATTGACGAAGTCACCACGGGCGCTTTGCTATCGACTGGTACGTCGCCTATCACTAAAAAAAAATAATTAGCTGTAAAGTAAATGCGAGTACTTGTGTCAAGTTTAGAACTTGAACCCGTCCTCCCTTAAGAATGTTCATTCATCTTTGCATGCCATTACAATACTCACATTTTTTTATAAACTAACATATTACTCCCTCCGTTTCATAATGTAAGTCATTCTAGTATTTCCCACATTTATATTAATGTTAATGAATCTAGACATATATATCTATAGATTCATTAATATCAATATGAATATGGGAAATGCTAGAATGACTTACATTGTGAAACGAAAGAAGTATATAATATATCATTCCATGAATATGTAAGCTTAAATTTGATCTATATTCTCCAATCATAGATCAGATTTGGAATTGAGATTTTTTTTATTATAAATGACTGTTGTATCTTTTTTAATCCCCCACACACAAAAAAAAGATTATTTTATAACTATCTACTCTCTGTGTTCCATAATATAGCTACTTTTGTTTTCCTGTTAAACAGCTAGAAATAGTTATGTTTTGGGAGAGTGATTAATATTCGAGAGGTTGTATGAAACGACAGAAAAAATAGACCAGCTCACAGTTCTTGTGGTTAGGTGAAAAATAATACTACCATATTTTTCTCATATGTCTAAGGTCCTTTCATTCATCAAGGTCTTTTCATTCAAAAAAAAAAAACATACATCAAGGTCCTTCCACACCATTATGGTGTGAATTTTGATACCAAATTCTGTTTCTTTTAATGATTAAAGACATGCAAGTTTTGCTACAATTAGGAACAACCTAACCTGTCAATGCATGTCTTCCAGTAGACGCCACATCTTAAAATAAAGATCTCACGTGTAACTTGTTGGATACTGCGTTTTATTTAAAACAAAAAATCTCCTAAGGCCTTATTCGGCTTCAAGGTGATTGAAAGGAATTAATGGAGAATAATTCCACGGTATAAAATAAATCGTCCTCAATCTTTTTTTAATAGGGATTAACTGAATAAAATCTAAACCGAAATGAACCTGATTAAAACGGCCAGGCTAATTAAGCATGCATTAGCTAAGGGATATGACTACCCAAGTGTGGAAACATCAGGCCATCACCTGTGCAATGGACAGCCGATAGCCCAGAGTCTGCAGGAGATTGGCTTCTTTGAGCCCCCCATGCTGGCCAAAAGCTGGATGCATAGACACACCATGTCCCTGACCATGACCTGACACAAACCCAAATTTTGCTTGCTTTACGTCCCTGTTTGGCTGTGTTTAGATCTAAAGTTTGGATCCAAACTTCAGTCATTTTTCATCACATCAACCTGTTATACACACACAATTTTTCAGTCACATCATGTCCAATTTTAACTAAAATTTAAACTTTGCGCTGAACACACAGCCTTTGTTCCCAGCCTCCCACTTCTAAATCTGACTAATCACCGCCCCCCTCTCACTGCCCCCACTTGATCTGACTGTTCGTTCGTTCCATGCACGATCCATTTAGTATCAAACAAAAAACAAGAAGATACCCATCGTGCCCCGCAAAAAAAAAAAGAAGATACCCATCGTGTGTTAACCCATAAAAATATTAGTCATTAGCATAAGCCACTTGCGTTTCTAAGTGGCAGGATCAGGTGAACTATTCTATGATCAACTTGGTGTAGCTTTGTCTTAGATTTCACGTTAATGCTACTGAAACTGAACTAGTTTATGTGAAAACCCCATAAAAAAAATACAATTCCTACATTTCAAAGATGACCGTAGCCATCTCCCTAACATTTCATTGGGTAATGGAAATAAATCCTAGTAGCCTTTAGCTCAAGAGATTATAGCCAATTATTCAGTTGAACCATAATCAAAATCCTACAATCCTATTGACATATAATTGCTGTGTTCAGAATCGCTAGCTGCGGCTGACGCTGCAGCCACGGGGCAACAAAGACCTAGCAAGCAAAATTTCTGCTAGTCTACTGCATCATTCAACCTCAGCCTAGCTGAATCGAACAGCCCCCAATAATTCCTACGACAACAACCATTTGCATTTCAAAACCCGTGATTTCACGTGTAGGCTTACCATAATTTTAACACGGTCATACGAAATTCCTTTAAAATCCTCACACATAATATGCACACTTCCGAATGAGGTCTTAGGCTGAGTTCGGGTAGCGAGGATTAGCGTATAATTAGTTAAGTATTAGCTATTTTTTAAAAAATATTAATTGATTTTTTAAAGTAACTTTTATATAGAATTTTTAAAAAAACATACCGTTTAACAGCTTGAAAAAATTACACGCAAAAATAATGAGCATGAACATGAACATTTTCATCTCCTAACATTTTGATTGCGTGTCATCTTCACTGGACACATATCCTGCTAATTGACCAACCAACATGTACACTGTGCCAGATTGCAAATTCTGCGAACGACGGCAATATAATGCATCTCCCTAGCTAGCCCAGCGCACATGGCGTTGCGCATGCGGATACAAAACCGGTGCCACCCATCACGGGGGACGTACGCATCCGGTCGATCCGAGCCGTCCGTTCCCTCGATCGGACGGCCGCGGCGATGTCCCGGCGGGAGGCATGTGCAAGCCGAGCCAAAGCCAGACAGACAGCAGCAAGGCAGTGCTGAAAACTGCACCATCTGCTAGTATTCTATTTACTGGTTTCTCTCCTCCATAAATAAGTGCAGGCAAAAGCATGATGAGCCATAAAAACCAAAGGCACCATCAACCAAATCACCAAAAGATAATAAAACCAAAAGCTCTCCTCCTTTAATTTGCACCATCCCCAAATCTCCGACCTTCTCCTCCTCCATTGCCATCTCTCTCATTCTCTTTCTTTCTCTCTTTCTTTGTTTCTTTGTTTCTTTCTCACTCATCGATGAGGATTAGGAGGAGGCCACAGTGTGTTTCGTTGCAGAGCTCAGATCCATCCACATCCACCGCTGCAACCCAGAATGCGGCAGCAAGAAGCCGGGAGGGTGGTGGTGGCGATGGTGTTGGGAGGAGGCTGCACCAGCTGCACCACCATGGGAATGTGGATCTTGGCAAGAAATCGTCCGGGGTGGCAAGGCGGCGCCTGGCATTGTTGCAGCAGGTACGCGTGCTGCTTGCAGATTTTGTTTGGTTCTTGCACTCTTGGATCAGATGGCTTAGATCTAGCTGAATCGAAAGAACTTGTGTGTTTTGGCCTCAACTCGATCGATTGATATCCCAGGAAAATGGAGTGGATTGCAGCGACAGCAAGGGACCTGGTGAAGAACATGGAGGAGCTGGAGATGCTCACAGGAGGTAAGAGTGCTGAAGAACTGCAAAAAATGCAGACAGAACAAAGTCTGTTTGAAATTTGAGTTGACTGAACAACACTACAATAGAATGATAGTAGATGCACATTCAATCAGGTTACTACTCCCATTTATTAGTGTTGTTTTTCTTAGTTTCTTTGGTTCTACTACTACTACTGTTTCATAGTGGGTGACGATGCAAATGTGCAATTATAAATTGGTTTTAGACATTTAGTAGTACACTTCCTGTCAGACAGAACGGGCTGTAGGCATGTCCACCACCCATGCATGATGGATTGATGGACGCATCGATCCACCCATAATAATTCAATTATATTTAGGCCACTTCTTGTTGGGGGTGGATGGATTTTGTTTGGTCTCTAGCTCTGCTGATCAATCAGGCTCGCATCACAGGCCACAGCCTGTTTGGTTTGGTTGTACCCTCGCGTAATCTTGCTTGGCACCTAGCGAGTTCGGCACAACAAGTTCCAGGGGCAATGCACTAGATTGCCACTTGTATTTTGATCACATTTTTGATCAGTTTTGGTCATGTTTTGTTTGTTTGTTTGTGTGTGCAAATGATGCGTTTTGTGTTCTTAATGGCAGCGTGCCATTGCCATGCACCGGCGGCGAGGTGGGCAGCAAGTCGGAGCCGGCGGCGGCGGTTGCACCGGCGGTGATCGTGGATGTGAAGGAGGAGGAGAAGAGCGTCGGCAATGGCGGCGGCGGCGGTGGAGCCAAGAAGCGGCGAGGTGGTGGCGCGCCGGCGGTGCTGATGGAGGGGTCACGGTGCAGCCGCGTGAACGGGCGAGGGTGGCGGTGCAGCCAGCCGACGCTCGTCGGCTACGCGCTCTGCGAGCACCACCTCGGCAAGGGAAGGATGCGGAGCGTCACCGGCGGCGGCGGGGGACGCGGCGGCGCCAGCCAGCTCGGCCGCACCGAGCACCGGCCGCCGGCGACGGCGAGGAACCCCGCCGCCGCGGCGGCGCCGCCGCCCAAGGCCGACGAGCCAGGCCCGAATCATATCGCGCACCATTAATGCGACGCAACGAATTCCTTCCTATTTGGGGGTGCACATTTTGGCCGCCGGCGATGTGAATTCTTGCCGCATTTTTGCGGTGGCCTTTTCAACTGTCGGTCGGTGGTAGCACGAGCAGCAGGACCTGGATTTTCACCGTGATTTTCCGAGTAAATAGTGGCAGGAGCCATCGGCCATGCAGAAAAAGATTGTCACTTGCACGTACGATTGCACCTGAGAGAGAAAAGAGAATGGGTATCCACCACCACCCACCCAAGCCTGCATAAATAATTGTTGCCGTGGTTGGTGCAATTCAGATGGGGTAAAAGAAAAAAAACAGTACGGATCTTTGGAGGGGGGCCTTCTCCCTTCTGGTCGTAAAATCCGGTGAGATGGTTAACAAATCCAGAGTAATTTTGTGCCCCCCCTCCCCCCAAAAAAAATATATTCCGTGTATGGCTGCACCGAACGCACGCTACGTAGACGGTGCGAGAAAACCGAGGTGGGTGCGCAGTGACGCAAAAGACAAAACTGCACCACACCACCGGTGACGGCGGGGTAGTGGGGGCATTCCGCCGTCGCGGAATCTCCAACGCGGCCGTGTAGCGTGTATCACGACACCGCACCCAAACGTGGCGGCCCGTGTAGTACTAGACTACTAGTGTACTACTACCTCTCCGCGAGGTGATGGGCGGGCAGGCTAGGCTACCTCTTTCTTGGGTGGAGTAGGCCGTGCTGCGGTGGGGCGAGCGATGGGCTGTGTGTTGTAGGCTAGGGGAGAATTGGGCTGTTTGGGCCAGATCATCACCTATTAGTTTCCCCGTCCACATGATCTTTGAGAAATGTCTAATGTGAGTCCGTCAAATAGCTCGAATCTGATTGGGAATAGCCTATTAGTTCCCTCGTTCACATGATTTTTCGAAAATGTCTAATGTGGGTCCCTCAAATATAGCTCTAATCTAATAGGGAATAGTATTGAATCATTGATGGCTGTTTTTACTGGCATAGCGTCTATTTGTCCTACATAACAGTTACATCTACATGGCATTTACGTGGCATTACAAACTTAATGGGACCCACATGTCAGTAGCAGTTCTAAAAAAAAATAAAATAATATATGAGGCCCACATATTAGTCATATAAAACAGTAAAAAATATTATGGGACCTACTTGTCAGTGGTACTTCAGCCGCTTTGCTCAGGGCGATAGCAACCACGTCCATTTCGCTATGCTGCGGTGTGTGGCGGGGATAGACGCACCACGTCCGCTATGCACCAACGTTTGTGGAGCTTTATCCGAGGATTAGGATCTCGTTCTCTGTGCAGAAGCGCCGGGAAAAGATCATCGCCTCAATGTTCTTGCCTTTTTTTTTTCCTTTTGTTAGAGCTCGGATTTGTCTACCCCTTTACTTTTGGAGAGTCTAGATGTAGAGATTTCTGCGATTATTTCCCTGAATCCTGATCTATGATTCTTTTCATCAGTTTTTAGAAGGTTATAGATATCACTATTTTAGTTCACATTTGAGAAAGTTCTTCATTCCTCCCTTCTTAACTTTTTCACTTTTTCTGGTGCATTGTAAATGTCTCTCTTTTTTCTTACCATCAGTAATTCCTAGATCTATCTTAAATTTTAAGGGTGCCACGTGGTCCAAGGATAAGCCGGCAAAATTGCCAACTTAAAAAGATAGATAGATACAAGGGTGCAAGTGGGTAGACTCACGAACCATTGCGGGCCTGCCCGCTTGCACCGTAGATAGATAGCATAGCAAAGTATTGTTTAGAGTTGGGTCGTCCTTTCCAATTGCAAACTTGCAATCTTCAATACGTTTTACAAAATTCGGGGAGGAAAGGATTAAACCACCAGTAACAATTTCATAACAGAGAACTATCTGAAAAGCCTCTTTCCTAGTCAATTGACTTTTCTTTTTCATCTACAGTTTTTAGGGAACTTCTTTTCCTTTTTATGTACATCGGCTGTCTTCTACATCTCATTTTATACGGGAGGAAACACAAATTAGTGAACCTGCACAAAACCGACAAGACCAAAACTAACAGCCTACTTCCCCCACACAAGAAATAGTGGAATGGCTAAAGTCCGCTATGCACATCCAAGTATCAAACTATGCATACGCCGATTGTGCACATGGCGCTATATGACGTCCGACTATGCATACCCCGTAGATCGTGATTGTACAACCGAAAATTGCCGACTTGATTTCTATTGCAACCTTTGCATCTCAGCTCTCTTCAGTCGCCTTTTCCGATACCTCCATGCGACTTGGATGCGATTTGCTGCAAGGTTCTTCCAGTAAGGTGATTCATACCTGTTTTTCATGTTCACGAAAGCATCAGTGAACAGAGTAAGTTAGGGCCATGGGAATATGATATCCTCCAGGCTCCAGCTACACTAATTGAAAAATTCAAAATTCCTATGTGATACAATAGACTGCGCATCTGAGGAGTGTCTTTATGCTGTGTATTTGTGTGTTACGTATGTGATATCATTAAATTCATATTTGAAAATACCTTTGTATGATATTCATTTCATAGTCGTTGGTAATATTTGCAAAAGAACTAATAGTCAAAGTTCTATGTTGAAGACCGTGTCAAAGCTTATATGCCCTATATTTTTAAATGGAGAGAGCAATGCTCATCCATCACATAAATCATGCACAAATAAGCAGCTCTCAAAACATTTTCATTAATAAACTACTTCATCTGTTTCACCTTATATGTTTATATCCCACCATGTGCCTATATCTATGAAGTAAAAAAAAAATTAAGAAAAAGTTAACAAGGAAACATGACGACACCGCCATAATATAACCTAATTATGTCTTTCAAAGAATCTAGTTAGGGCAAAAAATAAAAAAGTCTAAAATAACTAGTTAGGGCAAAAAATAAAAAAGTCTAAAATAACTACACACTCCACGTGTTTTGATTTGAAAAAGAAGTCACTTTGTGAACTTTGACTAATGATTATTCAAATTATAAGTATATTTACTGTATAAAATTATACTTCCTCTATCCCAAAATAAGATATTTTTTGCCCCCTCCCGTTTGTCCCAAAATAAGTTCATTTTTAAGCAATCATTGCATTGGAATTTGTAAAAGTAGGGGACAAATGCATTGAAAGTAGATAAAGTGAAAAACAATTACATGGGATTTGATAAAGTGGGTGAAAAATGAACTCATTTTGTGATGGAAGTAGTAGTACAAGTATATTATATTTCAAATACTTTCACAAAATGTTAGTTTTATAGATATCAGGAATATACTGTCAAAGTGTGACCTTAAGAGTTTTATCAATTAAAATACACCCTATAAAATTCTACAGAGGTGGTACGTCTTAGTCTCCTCAATGGATAAATATTTTGAAAGGTTATTTGCTGGAAAACAGACAAATATACTTGGGAGAAATAAATACACTTTTCGCACATTTCCTGTCACACATCGATAATAGAACTTGAAATTATGTAGGAGTAAGGGTCTGTTTGGTACAGCTCCAACTCCTAAATATTGCTCTAGGAGTTGAGGCTAGAGTGGAGTTGTGGAGCTGCCTAAACCCAGCTCTACAACTCTAGTACATTTTGTGAGATAACTCCACCCAACTCCACTCCCAGTTTTGGTGGAGCTGAAACTGTTTGGCTGAGCTCCAACTCCAGGAGGGGTGGAGGTGGAGGTGGAGCTGTGCCAAATAGGCCCTAAATCTTCGATTTGATTTATTGCTTAGATTAATTTGGGTTTTCCTCAACCTAAATACCTAATACTAGTAATTAACTATATTGTTTTGTGATTCATAAAATAAAGGTGTAATTTGCTCGGGTATTTTCTTACCTGATTGTACCTAGCACAAGTGGATTGCGCAAGAATCTTGAAAATTGTGAAGTCACTTCTTCCAGATCACGTGCTCGCAGTACAAAAGCTTCAACATTTGTTAAACATCTGACAGTACGTATGGCGACCAAACGCATGCCATGCAACTTGATCTTCCCACCATCTGATACGGTAGGATGGTAGCATTTTAGATGACATAATAAAGGGAAAGATCAGAAGGCACGAGAAGTCAAGAAAGCATAACATTTGCAGACCTCGGTTCACTGAAGATTGCTCCAAGTACCAGGAAAGGAGTTCCTCACCACAAACATCTCCTTCTTGCAAGGGAGACTTATTTCCATCTGCACTGATGCTTTCCAATCTACCCCTGACTATAAAAACCATCTTTTCAACAGGACCACCCTGATAAAGAATATCACTTCCTGTAATATACAAGTTCTGCCTTAGCTTGTCACAAATTGCATCCCAGGTTGCATTGTCCATCAGGTTAAACAGCCGGACCTAAAATAGATGGTGAAAGAAGGAAAGTGCAAGTTAAAGTCACCTCAAGTTCCAAAAAATAATTGCATAGAAATTTTTCATGATATGCAAAAATGACAAAGTAGTTGAACATAAAACATATTCGGTGCAACTGGACTTGGAACTATGCCAGCACAGTGCATTGGCATCATGAGATCAACTAAATGATGGCACAGCAACCCCAATGATATAGGCAACAGAACTTATTCTGATTCTGATAACAAGTACGCAGCCACCCAGTACTATATAGTGCAGGGGCTGTAATGGATTGGTGGTGGCGTATCATTATTCTTAAAAGAAAAACAGAGTCGCATATCATTATTCTTAAAAGAAAAACAGAGTTCTCGCAAGAAAAAGGAAGGCAAAACAGAGGAAATCATTAAGCATATACACATCGCAAAACTTGCTGTTTCCTTTCATAAAGCAAAATTCAAAAGAAGACATCCGCACAGAACCGAAATTTTACACCTGTACCACCTGGATTAACTTGGTCTACAGGAAGTTTGTTTTCAGTCCTTTCCTGTGTAAGGATCTACTGAGTAAAACCACTACCAGTATTCATTCAAAAAAAAAAACCAGTACCAGTAACAGGAACTCATACCGGTACCTAGTAAAGTTGTTACTACATGAATAATTATCTGAAAGACAAGAAGCAATTGCGAACGGGGATATGTCCAGGCTATCAGGAAAACTTGCATTAATAATTAAAATATGCACCTACCCAGTGTCAAGTGTCAACTAATTGAAGATGGAGAGGAAAAAACAGTTGCAAAGACACAATCAACAAACCTTCTTAAGGAACCCAAAGAAATGGCGGCGTATGCCCCTTTGAATATCTTCTGGCAAATTGCTCAAAAGCTCTTCTTCATTCACTCCTCTAGTAGCTACCCAGCTGAACCTCTCGGCAGATCTAACCCTCCTGCACACCCACAAAGCTTTAGGCATTCTCACCTTGCAGCATAGAAATTTGGGGTTTGTTACTGATGTGTTACTACTTACTACAGCTTGTTGATAACAAAACATTTTACTAGTACTAACACGAAGAAAAAATGGTACTATCTTCACTCATGAATAAAAGTCAGATTTATTAACCATTTATATCTTCTGCTTGAAATATTAGCCATTTTACATTATCAAGATATGTATGCATATAATTCCAGCATTTATCTCTAATACTCATCCATTCCCCCTTGTTCGAAATTGTTACTAAAACAACATGATGGTAGCAGTTTTCTCCATTTCGATTCTTAGTCACATTTTAAATTGGATTGAAGTTCATTTACCCCACTGAAGGCCTGAAACCGGACATTTCACTAGGTAAACAGATCTAGGAGAACATTTATATCCTTTTCAGGTAATATGATGTTTACTTCTTTAATAATGTGAAAGGAAAGAAAATTAAAAAAAAAGGTCAGTTTCCTCATATCTCAGTTATTTGATTTGGAAGATATAAGACCTTCTCAGATCTTCTGGCAGCCGCCTATGGCTCATCCACTGTTCAACATCACGCCTTCTTAATTGCATCTCTAGTCTCCTGCAAAAAAAACAAAAAAAAAACATATACCCTTTGGAACATTAGTTATCAGACTTCATTAGGAAAAGGCACTACCAGAGTGCCGCACAGTTTCTATTATTCAAACTGATTGTTGTTGCTATTTGTGTTCTCTTCAATTCTGTGCATATGTGTAACATCATTTACATGTATATATACTAAACCCATTGGCATCTCATCAGTACACTTCATATAGGATAAACTTGTGGTACAACTGCACACCTTTTTCCAAGAGCTTGGAGAAAATTCTGCATGGACCCTATGAGTAATGCGAAAAGCAACAACCCCAGTCCAATAATAGCCATAGTGAATATTACTTCCCATACAAAGTAACTTGGGATCAAATTGCCAGCTAATGTACTAATTTGCTGCATCAGATAATTGAAGAAAATAAAAAAGATAGTAAGGTCAGTAAAGGCATATAAAAGATAAAAAGCTGGACCAGAAGTACAACAGTGGCCCATTGCTTTGGGTAAAAAAGGGAGTAGATATTTAGGAAGGAGGTTGGAACCTTTCCTCCTTTCCATATACAGCTGGATACTACTGGTTAAAAATGTAACGCGACAGAAAAAAACATATTTAGTTGTTTTAGTTGAATTAAGAGTGGATAATGGATACCCATACAATGACCCACTCCTAACCATATGGATAAAAGACAACAAATTCATCTTATAAGAAGAAATTAAGGTACCTGAAACCCCCAAAAGAGCGAATATATATAACGCTTAAGTCCAGGTTCTGTGGTTAGCAACACTGCCTGTTGGTAGATGCCATAAGGGAAATTACCGCTTTTAGTATCAAAACAGCCAGTTAAGTCTGAGTTGTTCAACCAATTGGTCCTATTTATTCCAGTAATTCCACAATCTGTACAATTATTACACAACGCTTTTGATATGTTTGATGCAGCACAAGAATCCCGTAGACATTGATTAACCCTCTGCAACAAAACATGAATGAAAATGAGATATATTTTTTATATATACTTGGTAGCTTCAACAATATTCTGACTACAGCTTTTTCAATCATCGAATAAAACAAGAAAACAAGTCAGTAAAGTGGACAATCATGCAAATGAGAATGTAATTAACTGAGTCTAAATAAAGCTTCCATTATCTAAAAAAAATGCAAATGAGAATATATCCCAGGTGAACATTTTTAGTTGAATGTTGAGTGAAAACAGGTATGATATTGTAACACCCTGAGTCCCCAACCTTTGGTGTTGCATGGTCAGTTTATACTGTAATCCAGTACCTGTTAGCCCAGATCATAGCAGAAATGTAACATTGATAAATCAACTTTATGTCCAACGTGCTAATGACAACTCCAAATAATTGGAAAAAGAAAAAAAATCTTGAAAAAGATAACAGAACCTACTGATAGGCAACAAAATATATGGTTCCAAATCTGGGGAATTACAGACCTGCCTTTCTGAATACAATCTGAACAGGCTTGGGTGGTTGGGAAGTATCTGATTAATTGCGCCCATAGCTATATACCATATGGAATTGTCATTAAAGAAGAGACTTACTTGTAGTCCGAAGAGGTACCAACATGAACCAACGACATGCCCAGCCAAAACAAACATTAGAAGATTGATCACAAAAGTAGACCATGCTGACTCAAAAATGAATCCATTTGTAGATTGACCACCAAGCAGTGGCACAAATCTTATAATACGTGGTACATACTGAAGAAGAACTGTAGCACGCAACAAGTTTTTTGCATAGTTTGCACTTGATAATCCCACATATTTAGGGATAACTAGCAATATCATCACCTGAATCAAGGAGGAATGGAATCATCAAAGATATACATATATGACAAAAGTAATTTCTGAAAAACAGGACAGTCTCTTTCAGATAATGTAGTAAGCAATTAGCCTGCAGAAGTCTGTAACTTTTCTAGCTTTAGACCAGATCAAAAATATATAGCTCCAATAGATTTGTTTTGACACTAGTTAGGAACAATCATTCAATATATTGATTGAAGATATGTAGGAAAACTACCTTATATTCTACACTGTTAATTGCATAAAGTTCTTGAGTCTCTCACACTACAGTGTCAGAAGCCTCTTAGTGCTTCAAATGAGCAATGCCAAACAGCAAAGTGTTCATCTTTAACCAGGCCAAATCAGCCTGGTTATTGCTCATTTGAACAGCAAACCACCTGTGCCAAATCAGGCCAACCACCTGTAATATATTAACCAGGACCAGTACGAACAAGCAAAACTAATGGGTTTTCGAAGAAATGAAGAGTGCTGGGTGCTGACAGAAGAAGGAAGAATGGAAAAAAGAACATTGCTGCAAACCCATCGGTCACATAACTCAAACCTACTCCGCTTTCTAATATGGCAAACATATGTCAAAGTGAACAAAGCATACAATACCTGAGGGAGTGGAAGAACAACAAATAAGTCGAGTACAAAAAACCCACGAAGATAGCGCATAGCAATTTTCATAGGCTCATCAACCAAATCTCCAGTTCCCACTACTCTCGACTCCGGTGCTACATATGCTAGCCTGAACTGCAAAAGTTATTCAAATGTATGAGCATTTTTTTTTGGCGGGGAACACTTAATGTATGACAGTATGAGCATGGTGCTTTTTCTTGGATTTGTAATATAAATACATCTTGGAATCTTAATATAACCAAAATGCCACATAGTTCATAAAATAGAGAAGTACTATCATGAAAAAGAAGAAACTAAACATGGAAGTAGATTTCCATATTTAACAGAAGGAAAACCTCTGCTGCAAAAATTACTACTTCATGGTAAACAACATATGGAAAAAATATAATAGCCTTGCATGCTAACTTTTAAGAGATTTCTTTAAAACTAAGGGCATGTGCAGTTTTTTGTCCAACAAGCCATGCCATAATGTACATGCACCCAAAACCTGTGCAAATCCAAAAGGTGTATTTGGCCCATCATAGGAAATTAAAAGAATAAACCAATCATCTCACTTAAGAATACATTGGATCTGCATATTCATTTAATGGAGAAGGAAAAGTATAAATACAATAAATTACATGTTAATATATCACCTGAAGAAGCATGTGTAAAAAATATATGGCGTCAGTCACACTTCTTCCAACAGCTAATGCTATCGCGAAATTCCAGTTGAACACTATACACTTATAATCCTGCACCACAAAAAAACAAATATACAGAAATACATATATGTACTGTGGTTAAATTGGATCCATTCTCTGTAATATAATTTTATATATAAATAGTTGCAAGAATAGAAACAATTGAGATGAACTGTTATGGTTGATTTTTTTATAGCGTTAGCCTACATGTTCAAACTGTACTAGTGGCTTGACAATGACACTTCACACAGACTAATAGTAGTGGGCTCATTTGTGTTAGAGCCATTGTGGATGTAAATCTGCAACATTTGATATTGAGGAAAGAAATGAACATGTAAAGAGATGGCCTCAGTCCATTCTTTCATATAACAGTTGTCAAACTTGTAGCCTTACCTTATCTACTGACAATAGGAAGAAAAACAGAGGGTCATTGAATATGGCTAGCAAGCATGATATCACAAAAAACTGGTTCCACCGATGAACAGCCTTATCATGTGGCTTCATAATTGGAATGTATGAAAGGTAATGCCCAGCTTTCTTCTTCCATCGATCACCGTAGCCATAAAGAATGTTGTGAAACTACAATAATAAACGAGATATATCAATAGCACATTCATCAGTAGAGAGATGCACAGAGCCACGGAGACATGAATAAATTCCAGTAACAAATACTCCAAGAAATTGCAAAAAGTCAACAACAGACAGTGACAATAACAACAACAACGACAATTATGATGATTTAAAGTCATTTGTAAAATTTGCAGCTTTGCAAAGTTCAAAAATAAAAACACCACTTGAATTTAATAAATTCTAGGGGATTTGTACAATGTAAATTTCTTTACATTGCTTCAGTTTTGTGCTTTAACATTTATGAAAGGGGCGAGTTGAGAATGTTTAATGGGACTTTTAGTTTGAGGAATATGTTGGTCAATCAACCATTGGATTCTAGCTCAAACCTGGCTAGCTACTTGCTTGGTTCAATGAATAGAGTAAAGTGGTACGTAACCACTTCATCCCTTAAAACATATCCTTGGTAGGAAAATGAGGAACGGGATCATGCCTCCAAAACCATGGGATGACCCTATAATTGACTAATCATAGGATGGTTTAATTTGTCAAACCAAACAGATCTTAGATAACTCAAATAATCCACAGCTAAAGCATGAAAATACAATATGTGTGAAACAGTTGTTTCCTTAAAGGTTGCACAGAATGAATCAAGAGTCAGTCAGTTGATCTATAAACATCTAAAATTTGACAACTATAACAAGGCAACCAAATAGTTTTGAAGACCTCTTAATATAGAGCTCCAATCCAAGCCACCACATGAATCAATATGCTTATGCTTTTCTCAAAAGGAAATGTGTTTAAAGGGAGGTGGCAAGTCAGTGGTGTTCATGACTGAGAATATCACCTTGTTATCAAACGGAGCTAAACTTCTCTGGAAATGCCTTTTGTTTTTACAAGCACGAGGACAGTCGACACAATCAGGATTATCACACAGTCCCAGAGGCTCAGAGTACATCATCAGGTGTTTGTTCTTCGGAACATGCTGGTCATAAGGCCAGTTACTTATTCCAACTTCTTCCGGCGTAACAACATGTGGTTTGCTCTTAACCTTTGGACGAGGCAGCTTATCGAGCATGTCTCTGTTTCCTGATGGAATAGCCACGGATGTATACTGAGTTGGTGCTGGGGTGAAAATAGGACCACTGTGGGATATGATTGAGTCTTCATATATATCATCCCTGACAGGTATACACATCGATACACTTCTAGTAGGAAATCTTTGTAGCTCTAGCATTGGAACATCATCTCTCTCTTGGCCAGACATTTCCTTACACGGAACCCAACATCCACTGCATTAGATGACATTGCATTAAGTGCTGAAGTAGATAAGTAAAATGATCTCTGTTACTTGCATATAAAGTATAATATTCTTGTATACAGAAGGTATGCGCTTAAATTTAAAAGATTACTCTGATAAGCATTCCTACAAGCAAATTCTTGCTCTATTTCAGTCGCACTCAACAACAGCAAATCAGATTTTTATAAAGCTTCTTCAGGAAAAGTTGTTAAATACAAGGGACACCATTCATGCTCTAGCATTCTTGGTAAAATAGAGTAATATGTAAGATTGGTTATCCAATTTGCTTGAATCTACATTAAGACCCAAGAAAGGGATAACCATAATAAACTAAAGCAAAATGTAGAAAAGGTGTAAACACAGAGTACACATGTCATTTTATCTTAAAAAGAACGTTAGGAGAGACTGAAAACTGTCTACATAAAGCATAATAACGACATACACATGAAAAAATCGGTCATACTTCAGCAGGTAAATCTGTTAAAAGCCAAAAGGCACTCCATCTCAAACAGTACTTATATCAAAAATACTTTCTGAATCCGTAGCTAAAAGCACACACGCGGTAACTCAAACCATACCAACGACACTAATCACTAATCAAACAAATATTCATGCGAAACAGGCAAAAAGAGGCACAAACACCTATCAGGATATGCAAGAACTGCAGCAACCAGTATTCCCCAAAAAAAACAAGAACTGCAGCAACTAGCGAACCACCAATCCAGGACGAAGCCTTGTCACTCACATCCCCAGCTCACATAACCAATTCAGAAGGACAAGGGCGACGGCTGCAATTAGAACCACAAAAATGAATGGATACAGGGCTATTTATTAAAAGATAATTATCTCCGAGAGATGGAGACTTCAGACTTGACTAATATTTACCACAACCAATTGCCGGCAAACTTGACAGCAAGTGCTGAGAAGCTGCGCAGAACACAAGGTGTTAGTTTGATAGCGCAGCAAGCAGCAACTGGAAACTGAAAATTCAGAGCACCGCATAGGGAAGCGAGTGAAAATTCGCCCATGCGTTTGACTGCGCATTAGAATCGATATAAAAAATCTACAAATGGCTAGAAACTGTAGGCGCTAGGAAATCCATCAGAAGAGGCTGATTAAACATCACCTCCTGAAAAAAATATATTATTAGAGAAAAAATGCTCCACGATGTTCATACGCTAACCAACCACCCACTATCACCATGGTTGCATTTTCTGAAGCTCCGAACAGCGAATCTAGTACAAGGCAAAAAAAATAAAAAATAAAAAATGGTCGAGAACTCATTCGGGAGCGAGGAACAAGCAACTAATTCATCCGGAAAAAAAACAAGCCAAATGCATCGCGTCTCATCTCCCTGGATAAATGCACAAAAAAGTTCGAAAAAAAAAAGTTTGAGTGCTAAACCCTTCTCCACTCTCCACTCACGGAGTCACCGTACACTAACTGGCTAGAACATCCATACAAAAAAAAAACATCAGAATCAAACCCCAACAAATATAGTAGAAAAAATAAAAGCTCTCTCCTCCTCTCGGCTCCCCTAGTTAGAAGAACCCTCAACTCGTTCGGCGCGAAACTTTCCCCAAAAAATCAGGAAAAAATAAAAAATGCATCACCGCGTTGATCCGCCGCGGCGCCACGAAACGAGGAGGGTGAGAGCGCCGCCGGCCGGCGCTGCCTGGGCCGCGGGAGGGAAGAGACGAACTCGAGGCGCGCGCGCCACGAAGAAGCTTCACTTCGCTCTCGCCTCTCGCTCTCCGCTTCGCGCGAGTTGGGACTTGAGAAGAAAGCGAGAGAGAGGGCGGTGGACTAGTTGCGGCTCGCGGGTGACCCCGAGCGGCGAGTCGTCCAACGCGACGTCCCATTGTCACGGAGTTGTCCGGGCCCACATGTCAGTGTAACCCATCCTTGCTGGCGCTCGCCTGTGCCATTGTGTTCGTCGCACCGTCATTCACAGAAGTATGCGATCCACTTGGAAGTTGGAACAGGGGATGCATTGTAAGAGCAGGTACAATAATTTGACTCAGCGGGCTCTAAAATAATGCCACATCATCAATTTCCTATGTGGATGAGAGAGAATAAAGCGGACGACTAAATTGTCGCCCGGCGTTAGCACTTTTCTCCACGCAGTATTGGTCGTGTGCAGCCGACCCTAGTGCTAAAAACGCTGTTTGTGGGGCCCTCACGTCCTCAGACGATCCCGTGAGAACTGCCTACCCCGCGGCGCGCGATCCCCTTTCGCCCACCGCGCGCGATCCCCTTCCCCCAGCGGTGTGCAAATCCATCTCCGCCGTTCGTGCGCGATCTCATCACCTTCCGCGTGCTTCGTCTTCCATCCATGCGATCGTGAGCGAAAACTGTGCCGTGAAAAACTCTGATGCCACATCGTTTGACGAAAATCAGCCAAAGAAATCCACTCCTTTCTCACGAGCTCTTCTTGCCAACAAACACTAGTGCTTTGTAATTTTAGTACTACAGAGAAATTGGTTGGTATGATCTGTGATATGATCCTGGTGTTTGGTGAACAAAGTTCATCTCACAACACAAATAGCTACAATGATACAATTCACTCTTGATCATATACATTGATATGTGCATGTCATAATTAATTATTTGATTATGAGATTCAGTCAGTCAATAGACAATCTATTGTACTAATAGTTGGCTTTAGCCATGGGCTATTAGCCCGCAGTGTTAGGAAACGATAAGCGAACAAACGACAAAGAACAATAGATCAATCACAGAAGACACGAGATTTAACGTGGAAAACCCTCCCAAAACAGGAGAGAAAAAACCACAGGCGCTAGCAGTAAAATATCTTCACCATATCTGGGGTGAGGTTACAACGCCGCACGGCGGCTTACAAGAGGTATATATATGGTGGAACCCTAAAATGGATGACGATCCGTTTCGCGGGGGCTCCGCCCCCGCACCCCCGGGCGTCCCTAGGTGCACGGCCTAATGGGCCGTTTAATATTAATAGTATAGCACACTACTAGCTCCAAATCATCTATAACTAACGTAATAGCCGATTTATATAATAATTGCTTACTATACTATTAATACCTAGTCCTACCTATCATACACACATTATGTCTTGGAGTTCGACAGTTCATGCTGCAGGTGGCTACAAATCTGTAGCCCGCTGCTCTTCTCTCTATTTCTTTATCTCTTTAAAATATGTTTATAGCTGGCTTATAGCCTGCTATTGTACTTGCTCTAAGAGCAAGTTTAATAGTATATCCAAGTACTAACTTCAAATCATCTATAGTCAATGTAATAGCTAATCATACAATAGATGCTTATTATACTATTAATAATTGATCCTACCTGTCATACAAACATTATGTCTTGGAGCCCGTGCTACAGCTGGCTATAGATCTGTATCCCGTTGCTCTTCTCTCTCTTCCTTTATCTCTTTAAAATATGTTTATAGCTTGCTATTGTACCTGCTCTAAGGCTGCTTTGGGAAGGTAAGAGTTTCTCCCCGCATGGAAAACGTGATGAACTATTAATGTATGACTAATTAAGTATTAGCTAAAAGAATATGAAAAATGGATTAATATGATTTTTTTTCTAAAATAACTTTTGTATAATTTATTTGAAAAAACACACTGTTTATGTGCGCATGAAAAATGAGAGTGGAGTTGGAGAAGGAGGGGAAGAACATAGCCTAGTAAGCACTCCCTCAGTCCGTGAATATAAGCGATTATACCCTTTTTGGCAAGAATTAAGGAAGTAGTAAAGGACATGTGATGTGACAAAGGGTGATGGGTGAAAGAATAAAGTAATATAAAAGTTAGTAGGTGGGAGAATAAATTAGTATAAAAGTATATGGTAGTGGAGTAAACTAGTATAAAAGTTTGTAGGTGAAGATTATAGTACTGTAATAGGATCCTAAACCCCTTATATTTTGGATAAATTTATGAAGAAAATCACTTATATTATGGGATAGATGGAGTACCATTTCGGTTTGTTAATTGGCTTTAACAAACTTTTGTTATGCAATGATAAACAAGCACCTTATGCATTCAAGGAGTAGTACCAAGTCACATTGTTACGTAGGTAAGTAAATTAATTCATGAAATGCTCATTTTAATACATAAACTGGACTTGCTCTAAATCCCGTGAAACTATTTCTAACGGAGAGAAAAAAAAGGGAAGAATAATAGATAAGACTTCTTGTGAAACCCAAAGATATTCAGAGGAGTAAGTTTAGTCTCATAAGAATTGAAAACATTCCATGTTTTAAAAGAGGCATAAATAGGAGTATCATACTTATTTTTTTCCCCAAATTCTTCCAGTGAAACCAGAAGACTGGCACATACTTATCCAACTCGGTGCTTAAAATACCTATGATATGTGCTCAAAACCCACACAGATTCTTGTTCTTTAACTGATTTTGGGTTTGCAAGGCATCTATTCTCATATTCTGATCTCTGACTCATTCTGTGCCTTGTGACTTCTGACTGAAAAAGGTTTTCTTCCCTGCATACTCTAGCAAATGCTCTATGTTCTCTGCATAAACCAGAAGACAAATGAGAGTAGTTATCCAGTTCAGTGCCTAAAATGCACTGAGAAAGATTCTAGTTCTTCAACTGATTTTGGGCCAGCAAAAGCATATATTCTGATCACTGACTCAGTCTGTGAGACTGACTTGTGACTGAAAGAGAGGTTCTCTTCTGTGGCCCGTAGTTGCTAACTACACGTTCAAACCTGGAACAGCTTGATTTAGTCAGATTATAATCATAGCATGGGTCTTACAAATATTCTTTGTACAAAGGCATATGAAATTATGAATGTACTGCATCTTTGAGTCTTTCCTTTCTGGTCGTTTGAATCAACTGCTGCCTTTCTGAACATTGTATGAGCACTAGGCAATTCAGATTAGCATTCAAAGTTCAACTGGAACATTGGAAAGAGCAAGATAATTAATTAACTCTTTCTCTGTGGTTAGTGGGAGTGGGGTTCTCGTTAATCACAAGCTGGCCGACATTAAGTTGATGATGCTCTTCTTCAGATACTATACCGCAACCATAGGAATTGTTAATGTTGTAACTTTGCCAATACAGCGACTAAAGCGTAGATTAGATGCTAGTGATGGTCTTATGAAAAGATTAGATGCTATTGATGACTATGTGACTCAGTTGGACTGTAGGACCCATGTTCGGTATAAATGCCTCCATGGTATACACTGAAAGAGTAGCTGTTCCACAAAAGTTTCAGCTTTTAGATGAGCTCAATGGTATTGGTATCCTACCATATACGGACCTGAAACAATCTTAATCTTGACCATATCATCTCTTCTGTTTTGAATAATTATATGACCTTTACAAGGCACATATTTGCTTGAAGTAATCCCAATCCAGAAAAAAAAAAGATCACTTTTTCAAGCCGTAACAAGATGCTTTGCTCTGTCCTTTGTATCCACAAGAAATTCCTTGCGCGCAGTATCTTAAGCCTTAACGTGTCTACTGTTGTTACCTTGAAGTACAGTTTATTAGGAATTTTCAGTGCGGCAATTATTGATTAGTTAACTAGTAGTAACTAACTAACTAACCTCCCTCAGTAGTATCATGCATGATATATATATATATATATATATATATATATATATATATATATATATATATATATATATATATATATATATATATATAACTGCCGAAAGGGTGTTACCTTTCTGTGTCCTATTGCCTTTATTCGGTCTTCAGACTTCAGTTACGCTGTTTCAGTCACTCTGAACTCTCAACTCTGAACCCTATATAAGATCATCTCCTTGATCACACACATTTTGTATCAGGTAACTAACTACAGCGTAGAATACTTCGATATACTGAGCACACTACTCGCAATCTCATCGATCTACATGGAGGCACAGGCTACCGTCGCCGTCGCCGTCGCCGGTGGCCACAACGACGGCGAGGAACGTCGCCGTCGACGGGTCCGCTTCTGCCGCCGTGGCGAAATGCGGAATCACATTCTGAAGCGTTTCCTTTGTGCGCTCTGCTGCTGCGGCTGCTGTTCAGGTAGCGAGTGATCGAGCATCGGGCAGCCATAGGAAGAGTCAATCATCCAACATATATTCAGATAGTACTATTTTCATTTCTGGTCATAAATTACTACTCCTCGTTTCATTTTTTTTCTAAGTCAAACTTATCATCAAGTTTAACAAAATATAGCAACATTTGTGACACCAAACTAGTTTCATTGAATATATTTTGATGATATGTTTGTTTTGTGTCGAAAATGTTATTATGTTTTTCTATAAACTTGATTAAGGTTAAGAAGTTTGATTTAGAAAAAAGTAAATAGACTTATAATATAAAACGGAGGAAGTATTTATATTTACTAGTACTAAGTAGAGATTGCATGATATGGTGTCATTCGTATCTGTAAGTTGTTGTGTCCAGCATGGTGTGGCAATGGGATTATAGTATCTGCACAAGAACATCACCTGATCGATCACACCTTTTTTTGGCACTTTATTTTTCCCCTTTTTGCTGCTGTAGTGGGTGGTCTTTGTTTTTGGGAAGCTATAATAATAATGTAATCTGAATATGCGTGTTGTCTCTTGCTACATTCTGCCTAACTATATGAGGACACTCTTGTTTGATGCTCAGATGAAGGATTGCCCTAAAGGGTTTGTTCCATTTCCAGCTCTAATTAGGCAATAAGCACTTTCGGCATCAATGCATTTTGCGGCATCCAGTCAAAAAAAAAATTGTGGCAGGGATGATGGAATTTCGTATTGCCGCCTTTTTTCTGCCTGGAGAATCTGCAGCCTGCAGGTACCTTTATAAAAGGAGCTAA